CAGGTTTACATAGCCTGATCTTGCAACCAAGAACCTTCCCCTATAAAAATTTATTTTGTTTTCTTTGGTGGCAATAACAGACCATGTGTGTCCTATGTTCTAATTGTTACTAAAAAAATGGAGTATTTAGATCCATTTCGTTATTCGGATAATAGCGACATTGAGGCAGACTACATTGAAGAAAGTGTAAACAGTGATAGCAGGGACAGTTCTGTACAAAATGGCAACATTTTTATGACAAGTGAGGTTACTGAAACAGGTGATTCGTCCAAAGGAAGAAAGCGGATTAGGGTTCCTAGTAAATGGAAACGGAATGTAAGGAAGACAGCAAGAAATAGTGGAAAAGCATATATAAATAGTGTTAAGAAACAAATTTAAGCAAAAAGGCAGGGTTGCAGATGTCAATGCAAAAAGCAGTGCTATGAGAAATTTACAGAGTTAGAGCGTTCTAAAATATTTGAAGGATTTTATAAGAACGCTGATAAAAATGTTCAGGATGCTTATTTAAGCGGTCTTGTAATCGCTTCTGAAGTAAAAAGAAGAAGATAGGGAATAGAAAACAAGGAATCTTACAATCGAAATTATACTTTTATGTACAGTATTACAATAGGAACCAAAAAGGAACAGGTTTGTCGCACAGTGTTTTGTAATCTGCATTCAATTCATAAATCTCGAATTCAACGAATAGCGGAAGAGTGCTGTTCAGGAAAATCCTTACCAGCTACCGACGGCCATAGAAAACATTCAAACTGTCCTAATAAATTAAGTGATGACCTATTAAAGTCTATTTCGCAGCATATCGATAGTTTTCTTCTTCGAGAATCTCATTAATCGCGAAGTCAAAAAAAATATTTGCCTGTTGAATTAAATGTGAAAATAATGCATGAAATGTATCTGAAGAAATACGAGCCAGAAAATTATAAACTGTTGAAGGAAAATAAGCCTATAAAGCCTAAAGTTACTATAATATAATATATATATAATATTTCATTTGGTGCACCCTGAACTGATATATGCTCTGTATGCGATAATCTAAAAATGAAGATCGACCAAACTACTGATGAGAATTTATGGAAAGTACTACTGGTTTAGAAAGAACTCCATTTAAGGAAAATTCAAGCATTCTATGATGATTTGAAAGAAAACACTAAATTGGCGGGGACAAATTCAACTATTGAAACAATATGCCTTGACTATCAGCAAAATTTGCCTGTTGCGGTGATAACATCCTCGAATATATTTTATGCCAGTCAGGTTTGAGTCTTGAATCATGGATTTCACTCATGTAAAACAAATAGTGCCGTTATGTATATGTTTAATGAAATCATTGGTAAAAAAGGTTCCAATGAAAGCATTTCCTTTTTGAAGCACTACATTGATAACTACATATGTAATGATGTTAGATTGTAGTATACTTTTACGGACAACTGTGGCGGCCAGAATAAGAACTCCGCAATGATTCACTTTTTAATGGCTCTTGTTCGAACTGGTAGATTCTCTACAATCATTCATCATCTTCCGGAACTTGGCCATAGTTTTCTACCGGCTGACAGGGACTTTGCAAATTAATAAAAAGAAACGCAAGAATTACTTTATCTGTCAGAAGAATGGTACAAACCAGTTAAATCGTGTGGTAAAAATTTCAAAGTCGAATGTGTCACCCAATCAATGATACACGATTATAAATCTTAGGTTGTTAAGAAGAAGACATTTATGTTATCAATGTATCGGATTTCCTAATATGATCAAGTCTATTCCGATAAGGTTTACGTAAGCCCATGTTATAATGACACAATGTTGGAGGGATACGCGCTTATAAAAGACAAAACAATTTCCATTAACTTAAGTGACGTACCATTGGCATATGGTGCACCGTTCCACCGTAGTCATCCAAATACGACAGCATCATGCCTATTGTACAACGATTTGTGCCCAAGGAATTTCTCCATTTTTATGAAAATCTTAAACAGACTGAGGACTTAGCTGGTGGTAGTGATTCAGAATAGAATTTATGAAATACTTATCTGCTGTTATTAAAAGGAGTTAAGTTTTACCTTGTGGTCAGTGATGGGCGCTGGGTAAATACCCGGCGGGTAGGTATTTCTAAAATGGGTATTTATCCGGGTATATACCCCGGCCCAAGGTAAAAATAAAATAAAACAGATTCCAAAAAAAATGAAGTGGAAGATGATGAGGACGTTGAAGACGAGGAATTGTCAACAATCAAAGATGTATTATCATTAAACGAATCTGTCGTAATTTAGATTAGATCAAGTTATTATGGTTATTTTCATCATGCAGCCCTCTGCGTCCATTGTTGGACATAGACCTCCCCTATTCTGTTTCATTCGGTTCTATTCTGTGCTGTCTGAATCCAATCGTTGCTCATTATTTTGACGTCTACTTAGTCTGTTCGCTCGCGGTCTCCACTCAAGCAACCGTTTTGTCCACTGCTCATTCTTCATTCGCGCGACAAAAAGCTTTGTCACAATGTTGATCACATCAGTTACGCCAGTTCTTCTTCAAAGGTCTTCATTTCGTATGTAGTTTCTCAGAGTTAGAACCAGGATCGACCTCTCCATCTATCTTTGCGTTACTTGGATCCTCCTGGCTGTGGCTGCCGTTAATGTTTAAGTTTTGGAGCCTTATGTCATAATCGGAAATAAGCATTAATTGAAAGCCTTTCTTGGCCTTTTCTCTTGAAGATGTCTCTAAGTTTCCCGTAGGCTGCCCATACGAGAGTGATCCTTCTGTTTAGTTCGCTTGTTTGATTATCTCTCGATACACGAACCTCATAGCCAAGATATACATAACTGTCAACCGTCTCAATCGCATTATCTCCAATGTTGATGCTGGGAACAAGTTATCATAAATTTTGATTCGCCTCGTTGATATTTAGTCCGACTCTTGCACACACCTCCTTTAAGTCGTTCAGAATTAGTTTAATCTCTCCAAGGTTATCATATCTTATTATATAAGAACTATATCCTCGCGTAGCGCAAATTACTTAAGCATTTGCAATCAATGTTTATGCCTTTTTGGGTTCAATCCAGTTGTTTAAATGCACTCTGAGGACTGAGATGAACAATTTGGGTTCAACAGTGTATCGCGTTGTTTTACTCACAATCAGTACTTTACTACTTCTATTCTCTTCAGTACTTTCATGCAATTTTACCGTCATTGTAGCATTTTTGTAGATGTTATAAATAAGTTTGGTATATCGATAATCGACTCTGTATTCTTATATCCTGGAAATTTACCCTTGAAAATAAATACCCGGGTATTTAACAACACTGCTTGTGGTGATAGATTTCACAGACAATATCTGTTCATAATATAATTACGAAGGCTTTCACGGCCGAAATGAGATTAAAACTAGAACTAACACTAGAAACTTTCGGGTTTTGCCGTGCGTCTTTTAAGAAAAGGTTTGACGTTTCGGATGCCATGTTGCAACCTTCTTCAGAAACTGGTTCGAAGTGACCACTTTTCTTAAAAGACGCACTGCAAAACCCGAAAGTTTCTAGTGATAGTTCTAGTTTTAGTTCTAATTTTAGTTCACATATCTGTTCATTTTATTTTTAGTTTTTTTATTAAAGCAGTTTCCCTTTTGTATTCTTTTTTTATTTTTTGGGTTTGGTAGTAATACTACATTGCCGTTGCAATTTTTTTACGTGTAACTGATTGTCATTTGCGCCCTCCATCCTACTTTCGTAGGCCGTCAACTGAATCATAAAAATGCAGCATGAATCGCTACTTTTTATCAATCTGTACCAGAACCGGCGGCTATAAGAGGCCATGTGCATTCTTTTTTTATATATAACCAAAGCCAGAAACAAAAAAAAGAAGATATTTTTATAGTAAGTAATTGTTATTACAGTTAGTTATAAAACAAAAGGACAAAAATAACTACTATGGAAGGCATATGCCAAACAAACGTTTTTCTTTGTTTTCTCAAAACTATACTTTGTGAACATAGCTAGTTATTCCACAACTGTTTTGCGCCCCACTGAATTTTAATTTTTAAATAATATTTTATATTTAATCGTTTTCCGGTTAACATAATTGCAAAAGAATCTTTTTATTTTGTTTATTTTGGTAGAACGAAAATATTAAATAAATCACGTGTAAAAACATTGAAGTTATTGCGATTGAAACAGCCGATATTTGTTTAGTTGTGATTTTGTTAATTTTGAATTTTCGAAATCATTAACTTGAAATTGTTTTCTAGATTAAAAATAATTTGATAAACATGATTTTTTTAACATTACGAAAATCAATGTTGATATTATTAGGGTTGGAATAATCGATATCTCAATTTTGAACTATCAACTCCCTTAAGTTATCCATTGATTAAATTGTAAGTTGCATTACGAATTTGAATAGGTTTTTTTGTGAAAAATCGATTTCGGTAATAAAACTATTAACCTGTCGAATCTGATTTATCATGATAATGCGACAATAGTGATTCAACATCGGTTCGAGTTTGTTCCGGAAAGCATTCGTTTATTCGACGGGAGACAGGTCTTTTCCTTCGGAAGGATAACAAGCTAGATTTATCGCGCCCTTTTCATTCCGCGACGAATCGTAGAATTTATGGGCACCGACCGGAGACTACGCGGTTTTAACAAGTATAATTAGAGTTTTCCATGCGGAATTAGGACTTTTGATCGAATATCGCGTCGCTTTGTTTGCGGTGACTTTACCTTTTCACGACAATAAATTACAGAGTGAGGATGAGAAGATTACGAGAGGAACGTAGTTATCGATGAATTATCGAATTTCGCGAAACTCAACGCGAACGTAATCCTCCTATCGACATAATCGATGGCGGGACGACGCTGCCAGTTGTAATAACAGGGTTAGGTTCTATTGTTTCGAACGACATAAACTATGTGATTTCTGACAACCCAAGAAATCGTTCTCGTTCCAATAATAATTAATTACTTTAATTTTACGATTTTGTATCAATTATAATTATTTTATTTTCTTTGTTATAGGAACTCCGTGTGTTAGAGTGCAGAGCGTGTGGAATATCCCGTATCAACACACAAATTTACCATCTTCTGCCTTACCTAACTCATTTGGATTTAGGTGATAATCGCATTCAATTTTTGGACACCGACGAATTTATCGATTTAAGACGATTAAAATCGCTTTATTTGGATGGAAATATGTTACCCGTCGTTTTAGAGAAAGCATTCGTTCATCAAATACGTTTAAGAACGCTGTGTTTGGCTAGAAATCGACTGGCAAAAGTGACATCAACCGCTTTTTTCAATTTATCAACACTAATCGACCTAGACATCAGCTACAACAAACTGAGCAAATTCGACGTGGAATCGTTGAATCCGGTGGCGAATTCGTTGCAGAGGTTCAGTATCAGCGGTAATCAGTTTTCGGCGTCGATGGTTAAATCGATTTTGCAAGTGATGTATAAAGTGCGTGATTTATCGATCGCCGATTTGAAACTGGAAGAATTTCCTCATAACTTTATCTCCGGCATTCAGGTGCAAAAATTAAATATTTCCGGGAATTTGATTAAAAATTTAACCGTGCAATCATTACCAACACATTTAAGTTTACTTGACGCTTCGCGAAATAGAATTGTAAAAATTTCGGAAAAGCTACTAAAATCGTTAATAAAAATCGAAACCGTTTATTTAAACAACAACTCGTTTTCATGTAGACTTTGTGACGTATTGCCCGTGTTAAACTTTTTGAATAAAACACGAACTAATATAACAAACATAAAGGGTTTAAATTGTGTTACACCGTTAACTTTAAAAAATAATCCAATCGATCTAACATTAAAGCAGCGTGTATTACCAAAGTGTCCTACACCGTACTCAGAACTGAGTTTCGTAGAAAAAATGAAACAAAACGTTGGATTAGTCATTGGAATTGTTAGTTTGATAGTGTTTCTAACAGCTTGCGTTCTATTCGTTGTTCTTTCGTGTTTGAGACGTCACAGAAATCACGGTGAAAATAAAGAAAGAAGAAGAAGGAAAAGGACCCCGGGCATCGAAATGTCTGAGGATCCATCGGTAGCTTTTGGTAGCAAACCAGAAATCAGCTTTAAATTTCCGCTCGATTTGACCGAGAGGAGAGCTTCTATTTCAACGATTGACGATATGAAAAAAGAGTCGGAACTAAGCGGATTGCCTAACGGGACTGTGCTTTGAAGAGTTTTCGAATCCCCATGTTTGTAATCATACATATCGTTATGTAAAGCTGACTAAACGTTAATTTAAAATTTAAAAAACTTACATATCTGAACTGAAAAGTAAACAATATTAAATGAAGTACTTAATAAAAATGTTAGTGCCTCGCAATATCGAACTCAATAACTGGCTAAAAAAGTAATAAACTAATAATGTGTTTAAGGTTGTGTTTAAATGCACAATTCGTTTTTTATATATTTGTACAGTGTATATAAACCGAAAAACGTTTTTTATAAAAACCTTTCGTTATAAAAAACGACGGCCGACTAATTGTAAGTAAATCGATCTGTGTAAAATGATTATGTACTGTTATAAATTTTATTAAAGATTTAAATAAATCTCTTTGTTTTGTCTTTTTACATGATTTTAACTTTTTAATTTGTTCAGTAAAACAATTCTCCAATGTCATGTTGGAATGGATAATACAGCGCATTATTCAAATCTCCAATTCTTGATCATTATCTCAAATACTTAACTTGTAACCAGCAGTCGAGTTACAATAGGGCCGTTAAGGTTAATCGATTAGAACGACCGTCTTTAAAAAAATCGATAATCTAAATTAAATTAGACGGATTAGTAACGTTTGCACGTTCAAAAATTGATTAATTTTTGCAATAATTAATGTAAAAGTTTAAAATTCTCCACCCCCCGACTCCAGATGACGTTTTAAGTAAGAAGAAAGAAATTCACAGACGTTACGCTCGCTCCCGTTTTTTTCTGTTTTCTTCTAGCGCATAAGATTCGTAGCATTGTCTCTCTCCAGGAATTTTATTGATTTTTATACGCTCCAATCGTACGAGTGACGTACTTTGGAGTTCGCACCCTGTAGTTTCAACTTTTTTTATTATTATTGGAAAAACTAAGCCTCAGAATCAAAAAGTAAAACATATAGGGTCAATCAATTTTAAAAAACTTAACCTATCTATTTAAACCTATTTAAAACCTATCGCTATAAATATTTATCATTTAAATGAAAAGCGCCTGTCTCGATCCAACGTGCAAAAAAGAAAACAGTTGCAGATAACGAATATACTAGATGCAACAAACATACTAAAAAGAACGAACAAAACATCTCTGTCACTCTTCTTGTTCACTTACAGCAATGAAATACAAGTTGATATCGAAGAAAATCTAAATTAGTGCTCCAGTGTAAAAGGTGTTAATTGTTAATCCTTTGGATGTATATGTTACAGTTAAAGCATTAATTCCGTGAATGTACACACGGTCTAGTCAATGCATACATTAACTAATTTACCTAGTTAATGTGTATATAAAATACGAAATGTAAACCTTTTACTAGTTGATGTGTACAATTACTAATGACGCCTAGTTAAAGTTTAAAGTACGTTTAATAATATATCACATAACGAAAGTGATAGGAATGATTCTGTTAAAATAAAAGTACCAACAGTAAAATACAATAACAGTTATTCTTAGGAAGTTTCAAAATAAGTCTTTATCTTTTGGTTAACTTGTTAAGTTAGTAAAATGGATAAAAATGAAATGAAAATTAAATTTCATAATTGTATTGAAGAAATCCCACAAAACAGTGCTTGCTTTCGAATGAGTTTATCAAAATATCGCAATTTAGTAGATGAAGTAAAAATTGCAAAAATCTCATCTCGGAAGGCAAACCCTCATTTTTGGTTGCTAAGGCATTACGACATTGTTACGGTTAAAAATGTGGAAAAGCTGTTGTAACAATTACAAATTATTTGATGTATTATATAAAATTCGCGAATCAATTGGCCATGGTGGACATTACCGAATTAAGAAGGAAATTCAAAAAGGTACAAAAATATTACAGCTCAAGAAATACAAATATTTTTTAATTTATATGAATTATGTATGAAAAAGCGAAACAACGAAAAGAGAGGGTTAGTGATTAAGCCGATAATATTTTCACATTTTAACTTAGATGCCAAGCCAACTTAATAGATTTTCAATCACAATCTGATGAATTTAAATTTATATTAGTGTATCAAGATCACCTGACTAAATTTGTGATACTTAGAGCTCTTAAAAGTAAACATGGATTGGAAGTAGCAGATCAACTACTTAGCTATTTAGAAAGATATAAAAAAATTATGGTCTGAGTTTTTCATCACTCAGAAAAGTATCACAAAGTCGCCGGATTAAAAAAAATTTTAAAGAAATCACTATTTCAAAAAATGGTTACTACTATACTTACTAACATACTGTACATCACATGCAATCCCTTCCATTAAAAAATTATACCGTAAATTCTCCTTATAACTATTACTAACATTTGTACTACCTAGTACTGCCTAGTTTATGTACACATTCACTAGTAAATGTATACACTCTATGATCAGTAAATACTTTCACTAAAACGTTACGTTAATGTATACATTGACTGGCTAATGTGTACATTAACTGAAATGCACACTTTACCTGTAACATATATAATTTATCTGCAGTAAAGAATTGAGGTATAAATGCGCAGGAAAACATCAGAGTATACATTGCGTGAAGCTCAACAATCCAAGCCTAAAGGTAACAATTGCGATGAAACACATCCTGCAAATTATAGAGGTTGCATAAATAGCGCGAGAAATACAAAATCTCTTGAACAAATACTCAAAGACGAACCAAATACAAGAAGGACAGAAAAACCAAAGGTCAGGTCAGAAGAGCGAAGTATCCTTTCAAGCTGATTAGGATCCCCAATCAACCTAAGAATCGTAAGCTCCACATATTATGCAAAGACTGGATCAACTTGAAGAAAAACAATGTAAAATTCAGTCATCGCTCTAAATCAGCTTAACTCATAACGACAACTAACGATCTAAAAATAATAACCTGCAATGCCAATATATCGTCATCTGAGAATTATTTTGAACCATGTCCAAAATACAATCTTACTATGTGGAATTATATGTACCAAGTACTGTACCAATAATAACAGAGTTGCTAACATTTAAATCTAAATTACTGCTTTGTAGACGTAAGGAACTTGGTTCAAAATAATTCTCAGGTGACAATATATGTATAATACCAACGAAAACTCCTAATGATAACGGTCTCAAAAAATTCACAAAAGCTCATTTCATGATACAATCATATCTAAAACTAAAATGTTATGTAAATGGGTACCATACCAATCATACCCAAAATCGTGCTAGGAGGGACGTGCAGCTACTGTCAAGGCAGGCCACCATAAAGAAGAAAGTTAGCAAAGCGACCAAATTCATGTAACCTCAAAATTAGGCCAAAATTAAAACTAAGCATTATACACTAATAAAGGATTGATATTAAAAATATGTAAAAGTTCTGTACTTTCAACTGGTCGTTTATTAAAATATATTTATCTGACTAGCTTCAGCTTAAAAGCCATCTTCAGAGATAAACCACAAGTAGTTATAATAAATTTTAACTACAAAGTCAAAAAGTAATGCAAATCTTAAAAGGTAAAAAATGTAAAATCTTAAAAACGTCGAAAGTCGAATAATTCAAGAAAATAACATAATGTTTCACAAATTTAACTCCAGAAATATTGAATTCTAAAATTGGAATTTTAATCCTATAAAATACATATTAAAACACTTATTATAAAATTGACAAAATTTGATATAATAAGTTTCCCATTTTTAGACCATGAATGTTAAATGTAGTTAAAGATATAATTTGAGGTTATAAAACTAGACGTTGCAATAATAATTGATGCAGTTCGGAGTTATATCATTATTGCACCAATTAACTTAGGCGTGTCTTATGTCAAAATAGCTTGTTGGGCAACCAAATATAAACGGACTTGCATTTTTTTTACACCTAACAACTTGGAATAGTTGATATGATCAAAAATTGGACTTGACTCATTTTTCCCAAAAAGTGGACTTACCTTTTTCTTGTAGCAAGGTCTTCAATTGCGATTCAAAGTATAATGTTTTATTTGGCTGATAATTTATAAAGGCTTTTTCTTTTAAGTTTTGCATAAATTTAATTCATCGTTACCATTCTTTCATTATTATACGAATATCAGCTCACAATTGTCTAAATTTTAAACCAGTATGGTGAAACGAACTCACGGTTAGACTTTATCAATCAAAAACTGCTGGATTCAAATAGCTTTATAGTGCAAGCATCAAATCTCCGAATGAGATTTAAAAAGAAAATCATACGAGTATTCTATTTTTGTTTAGATTTTTGCTTTTATTTTCCGCAAAATAGTACCTGTTTGAGCAAAACGTAGTTATTTTGGAAGTTATTTTATACCGATATGATATCAATTGACATCAGCGGGAAAATATATTACTCTGCAGGCGGTTGAGATGAAATATCTTAGGAGGATTGAGGATGTGACCAAAAGGGATTAGATCAGTAACGTCGATATAAGAAAGAAACTAAAGGAGTGGCAAATAAGTTAGTGGGGACATTTGCACAAGATGCAAGATACGAGACAGGCGAAAGAAGCCTGGCAAGCACTAACGTAAAGAAAAAGAAAGAGGGGCAGATGGAAGCTTGGTGCTGAAAAAAATTGCATGGTAGAAATTAGTTCATGAAAAGAAGCACCACAACTCCAGTGAGTGAGATAATAAAAACTAATTAACTATGATTATAGAGTCATATCATTGGATTCGTCTTTTTTTCGTAATAAACAATTTTTATGCCAAAGTATTTGGTGTATTAAAAAATAAAAATCGACTTCTGTCGCGGGCTGTATTATACAGTGCGTCTGTAAAGTAACGGATATAGGCGATAATATCGTTATAAACGGTTTATGGAAAAATCTCTGAAACGGGTCTAATCAATATTACTATTGGTTACTTAAAAAAATTTACGAGAAAAACTGTTTGAAAGTTTAACTACTCCAAATTTGCTTGATATGATCTACGGTAGTCAGTTACTTTAAACAATTTTCTACGTGTCAAAAATATAGTAGGTAGCTGATCTCTTTAATGCAACATATCATGATCGCCAGCTCATTAGTCAAAGTATAGTAAACCTAGCTGTCAATGTAATTGCCACATTACGTTATCCTTTTTATGGACAGGGCATATCAATGTATTATTATTTCTTTACATTTTTTTATTCTTTTGGGTTGATAGATCTTTGTTGTGTTCTGTGTTCTTCCATTCCGCATCACTAAATATACGTTATTCTTTTATCGATGTTTTTTTTACATTCCTTGTCGAACCACCCATTACGCTGGGTGGTCTTTTCTGTACGTACAGGCTCCACAGCTACTTGTCTGGTTATATTCTGAATTCTTGTTCAGCTATAGTTCACTCTGGCAAATTTTGCTATGGATGCTTCTTTTTTTAATTGTTCGATGTTAAGTTTGGAGGCTCTTTGTTTTTCGTCTCATTTGACGCCC